ATGTACTTTCGGTTTCGATTGAAGAGGCGAGTGGAGGTAGTTCGTGAATAGACGCCATCAGAAGCCGTTGTGACTGTAGATTAATGCGAATAAGTCTTTATTGTATTGTCTCTGGAACCCGATGATTTCCTACTGACTTTGTTGTACAATAAATCACCAGACCGACCAAAAAGTAGGATGGCCATTTCATAGATACAGAGAGCAACTGGGTTTCAATCAATCCCATAACAACACAGTGTTGGGGAGATTTTTATTTCGCATGAAAGTGTATGAAAAATAGATTTAGAGCTCGATTTCACCGGACGACGACGGCCGATTTCCGTTCTTCTACAGACGTTCATGTTGACGTAATCTACCCTCCCTCGCTACGAAGGAACATCAAGTGATGCACATCATCAGACCTGGAACTAATTCTTGACGCTGTAGCTAAAAAATGATAATCTATACGCATAGATAGATAGATGTAAAATGGTTTTGCTAATTATCTTTCATATTGGAAATGGTACTTTTACGAGATTAGGCAATTCCTTGTCATGCATCTCTTTGGTTCATTAGACCTTAATAACCCTAGACGAACGGATTATGACAGGTAGTTTCGTAACCTTACTTACACACTATCAAGCTTACATGTCATCATCTCAACCAGACATGCTTATGGACTTACGCAGTCTCGGTCGGGATTTCTTCATGGGTCATTGAGCATTGATCACCTCAGCATGACATTAGGCTTTTTTAATCATTCTGATTTAGGACCGATATTGCTGATAGACGTTATGACACACACACACACACACACACAAGTAAAAGTAACATGAGAAATATGAGAGATAATTGGCCAAACCATGCTTTGTCTGTATGTATCTATGCCTGTACATTTTCGTTTTTGAGTTATGGGCATATGTAAGGGATAAGATGGTTCTGGACAACCCATTTGACTTGTTGATTGTTGACTTGACACTTTTGCAAGAAATAGTTCCATTTCTGATGATGTGCGTCACTTGTAGAAACCTCATCCCGTCTTGATCCGAAACTAGGGAGAATGTCTCGTGGACTACGCCAACATGCAGAACGCGAATCGACCTTCTTCTTGCGGTGAGCTCGACTTTCCAATCTTGTCTTCATGCCCTTTCACGCAAAATGAAAGTCTCCCCAACAATTTTGTATAGCTCTGTTGGTTTCGCCTCGTTTTAGAAACTTGGTCGGAGCGAAAGCGACATCCTAATTCATGAAAATCTCCATCTTTAGACGGTTGATTTGGTATCTTGCCAAGTACTTCGCCAGCATCGCAGTCGGCATCTTCAGTGACAGTTTTAGCATGTACTTCTAAAGGAACTGCTCAACTTTCGCCAAACTCACTCATATTCGTGATTCTGCCATCGTCAAGTGAATATTTGGCTCCATTGTATGTGTGCCTTCCACATGCAACGCTCATGAATAGTGAGAGCTGTGCGAGTTTCTCTCCACTTGCCCATCCTGTCTCTCTTTCTCTTTCTCGCTCTCTCCCACTAATCCCATCATACCAGCCCAAACTAGTCACCAGTTACTTTCATACACTCGCCGATTTATATGGTTTCCCAATTATTCACTTTCCTTGTACACTCTTCATGTCCTACCGGTGCATGTCTGTTATTCTGTGTGAGTTTTGTCCTTAATCACTTCTGCCTTTTGGACGCACATGCATTTTCAGGCTGTTTTGTGTTTAAACAGCCCTTTCCGTGTGCCTTAGAGAAGGTATTCTCCCAAATCTACGGTTACAACGCTAATACAATAGGCCGTCTGCTTCCGGTGGAGCCATTTTGTGTATTCCATTCATTCTTTCCCATAAAATGAAATGAATAGAACTCCTTTATCGAAGCTGCAAACACGCCAAGGCCCTGTTAATGCTAGCGATGACTCAAAGAGAGTTCAAAATTGTTTGTCGGAGAGACGCTTCACATCTTGCTCACAAGCCTGGCTAATCAGCAAAATTCACAGCTTCTACTTCGATGTACCACTTTACAGGGATTCGCCAGACACAACCAAGTCCCTATACCACCACAAGCAACACAAGCATGACGCAAGGGATCAACTAAAGCGTCATCAATTTGGTGTCGTTAAGCTCGTCTTGGTCGGCCTCGCCCGAAAAATGGTTAATAAAGACATCAACGAGGAAGCTCTTACAAAAGCCCCACTATCACTTGAGCTAAATCAGGATGGAGTTGATTTTACCATATTTTTGCAAATAGGTCGCGTTGTCATGGCGAACTCTTCTGCCAGAGTAGTCATGGTGACTAACAACTTCAGACAGTGGACTTGGTACATTCGAAGACGTTTAGTTGGCCCCTTCAGTGAGCCTTGCAAGTCATAGAAGCAAACTACATTTCGTCAAAGTGACAAGCAGGAATTTATTTTTCGTATTCAAGTGGAGTTTCGAGACTATCAGTAAATCAGTAGTATGAGATTTATTCACCCAATTTCGTTCAAGGTAGAAGAATTTTCCCACAACTGAAGTTTCCGTTGAATTTCACATAGCCTTGCTTTCCCGAAAGTTTTTCTCATCCTGGCCGGAGTGGACTGCAGTTTCTCACACTCTGCACTGTCACGGTTCGACTCCCGCTGGGGGTGTTGATAAGACCAGTTGATGCGAGGTCGAAACTGCAGTCCACCCCAGCCGGGATGAGAACAACTTTTGGGAATGCAGGGCAATGTGAAAATGAATGGAAACGTCAGCTCTACTCACATCATTGCGGGAAAATTCTACTACCAGTCCTTCATCACCTTACACGAAATTGGTTGAATACATCTTTTGTTTCGTTGATGAGCTGTAGTTTGTCGCTGAGACTGGCAAAGCTGACTGAAGCTGTAGATTATGATGCCGGTGAAAAGTCTGCCAATACACAAAGTCCATGGTTTAATATTGAAAATTGTCACTTCGCATAAGATATATCAGTCTTGGTCGCCTTGACAACATGACCAGGCTGGTAAAACGAGGCCATATCACTCCTATTTAGCAAAATAGAGGCCATATCATTTTATTCTTCAATCCTCCTGCAAGCGAGGATACTTTGCTCGTCTAGTCTTAAATAAAGAATCTGTTGCATGTTTTGTGGCAGAGCGAACGAATGCAAATAGAAATCGTTCCCTTTGTGGTTGCAACATAGAAACTCGACTGCCTGATTTTCTAAGAAAAGGCATCAACTTCTTTGCCAGAAGATGCGTCTGCCAGCAGAAAGTTTGGAATTTGTTTGTCAGCACTCTTAGGCCGCATGTGCTGCTTTGCTATGCATCGAATATGCTCACATGTCTTGCTAGAGTCCTTCTGCCA